CGGATGAACTTCCAGAAGACCTCTTTGCTGCTGTTCGAATGCAACCGTCCTCAATTGATTTACAAGCTTCATCTTTCACTTGATGTGCAGGTGTCGTTGCGACATTTCGCTCGTAATGATAGTGTATTTGTGTTGAACGGTGACAGCAACCGGTATATTGAATGTGGCCTTCTGCCCAACCGCCACTTGAACCCCTGTGGTCCAGAATGGATATCGTTTGCAATTTCCAAGCGACAGGTTATAACGGTTTTAGCATTCCTGGCTTGGCGACAGCGCTGATTGAACTGCATTGAAAGAGCGTCCATTCATTCTCCACATCACTGGATGTCTAGGTGTTTTAACCGTCAGGGGAAGGCGCTGGCAAGTTTCTCAATGAGACCCGCAAAAAATAATTTTTCCCAACTGGTTCTCTGGCCTTCTCCGGGAATATCTTCGCACGGTGCTCCTCGGTCTACAGTGGAGATTGCCATCAAACGACCATCACTTGGCACTTCTTTTCTTGCTTTAACTACAACATTCGATAATAGTGCGTCGGAAATGAGTCGATGCGATTATGGAATGCCTTGCATTTCTATCAGCAACACTTGTGTAACTGGGTAAAAAGTAAAATAATGCCCTGAACATGAGCAGTTGCTAATAACTGTAGCTGTGATCCTTTGAAATATGCACTATCTCGATAACTGGTTCCTTTGAAGTTATTAAATCAATCAGAAATTTAGCTAATCATATAGCTGATTCAAAGATTCAAAGATTGCTCGGGCTTTCAGTGTAGATTCTTCATGGTTCCCACACGCCGAGCGCAATCATGATAGGCCGTTTTGTTCTTGGCGGTTTGTATCCAGTTCCTTCCTGCAATTTCTTGAACGTACGTCCGCCACCTCATCGGAAGTCGCCTGAGTGGTCGTTTTCTTTCTCTCAGGTACCATTCTACAATGCGCAAAGTGCATCGGTTGTCATCGAGACGTGCGACGTAGCCAGCCCAACGGATCTTCCTTACTCTGATGGTTTGCACGATATCTTGCATACCACTCATTCTTTGTAGAGTTTTGTTGTCGATACGGTCACGAAGAGATATTTCAAGTGTCCTCCGTTCCACTGCTCTCTCCGTCATAGCCAACACGTTCTCTTTCGCCTTCGTCGGTGGCCACGTTTCGCATCCGTACGTCATTGCCTTCAACACTACGCTGTTAAAGAGGTGAGCACGGTCTTTCTGGTCCAAAGTTTTAAGGACATCGATGATGCTGTAGAATTTGCACCACCCGGCAGCCCTTCGACGCATAATCTCTGGTAGGAGGTCATGGCGTATATTCAATTCTTGGCCCAAATATT